TTCATTATGGTTTCTCGAATTCCATTTTGGGGGGTTTGTTGGATACGATTTTGTTGAATCTGGGTATCAGTTATCTCCGTTTGGATACACTTTTGCTTTACTACGATAATAAATGTATGTATTGGCAAAAAAAATAATCTAATGTGTCTGATGTGTGGATATCAGTTCTGTTAAGTTGGATGCTTAACTGTTCGTTTTAGTTATTTTTCTGGGTATTATGGATATTTTTTTCATGGATACCAGTTATCTCCATTTGGATACACTTTTGCTTTACTACGATAATTGTATTGTATATAAGTGTGCGTTTTAGTTATTGGCCCAAGGATTATGGATATTTTATTCATGGATATCAGTTATCTCCGTTTGGATACACTTTTGCTTTACTACGATAATAATTGTATGTATAGGCTAAAAAAATAATCTAATGTGTCTGATGTGTGGATATCAGCTCTGTTAAGTTGGATACTTAACTGTTCGTTTTAGTTATTTTTCTGGGTATTATGGATATTTTTTTTCATGGATATCAGTTATCTCCATTTGGATACACTTTTGCTTTACTACGATAATTGTATTGTATGTATAGGCTAAAAAAAATAATCTAATGTGTCTGATGTGTGGATATCAGTTCTGTTAAGTTGGATACTTAATTGTTCGTTTTAGTTATTTTTCTGGGTATTATGGATATTTTTTTCATGGATATCAGTTATCTCCATTTGGATACACTTTTGCTTTACTACGATAATTGTATTGTATATAAGTGTGTGTTTTAGTTATTTGTCCAAGGATTATGGATATTTTGCTTAATATATAACTGTGTTTCAGGAACAACCCGGGATGAAGAGAACGAAAATGGTTGCATCGAGATCTCGTCAAGGAGAAAAATCAAGGCAGCCGCTGCCTGTGCTTCATCCGGATCTCATCGTCCAGACTAATATCCATTGACAACAAACTGCATGTATGAAGAAAACCAAATTGCCCAGACTAATATCCATTGACAAACAGAGCAAATATCCAAACACCACCAAAATGTATCACATACAAATACCAGAAAATAATCTACAAATGTCCTTAAGGGGCTAAGTAATATTCATAAATTTCCATCTAGTATTTGGATAACGTACCCGGTAAAGTGGATGAAAAACTCGTCGAGATTATGTTTCGGTTTCCAGAAGAGTCGCACTTGTGAATTGCACGACTCACTGGCTTGCGTTGTCAACATTCCCGCTGTGAATTGATCTCTCAGATATAAGGAACACCATTTTGAATGAATATCACTATGTTAGTAAAAAGTATTACAACTAGGAAAGACAAGTATCCACAACACACAAACTAATATCCACTATTTGTACCCTAACCCTAAACCCTAAACTTTAAACTCTATCACCCTAATCACTAAACACTAAAACAATAAAACTATCAAGATGTGCCCAATCCGAGAATATTTTAAGGTTCCACACAAATATCCAAACACATGAACTAAGTTAATATTTCCTCAGATTGAATTAAATATCCAGGCAACCCAGACAAATATCAAATTATTTAAAATAACTATCAGTTCCTTAGTAAAAAGTATTACAATCTTTTCAAAAAATATCCACAACACACAAACTAATATCTACTATTTGTACCCTAAACCCTAAACTTTAAACTCTATCACCCTAATCACTAAACTATAAAAAATAAAACTATTATTGTTTTCCCAAGCTGAGAATATTCAAAGGTTCCACACAAATATCCAAACACATGAACTAAGGGAATATTTCATCAGGTTCCAATAAATATCCACACAACTCGGACAAATATCAAAATATTTTATATAAATATCCTGTGGTCAGTAAAAGGTATTAAAAATAGGAAAGACAAGTATCCACAACACACTAACTAATATCTTACATTTGTACCCTAACCCTAAACCCTAATCACTAAACACTAAAAAATAAAACTATTATTGTTTGCCCAAGCCGAGAATATTCTCAGGATGTTCTTATAGCATGAGTGTTTTTTGTACTGTGTTAGCTAAGTTTTGCAGGTTCCCAGACTCTTCTTCATGGCAAGATCACTTGCAGTGGGCGATCAGGCAATGGGCTGGGGGTAATGGAGGAAGCAGTGAAGGTCGGTTAAAGTGGTCCATGTGTGTTAGTTATATATGGCGAGAACGTTGCAATCGAGCACATGATGGAGTGATTTGTTCCCCAAGCAAGTTAGCAGGTAGAATCGAGGATGAAGCGAAGTGGATTCTTGCGGCTAGACATCACTGAGCAGGCTGATATACTGTAAAGATAGGTCTATATTTGAGCTGATGTATAGCGCTTGATAGGTATTTGTTTGTTGACTTTGAGAAGGGTTTTGCAGTTGCAAACCCTAGTGCTTAATGCAATTTTTGATTACCCATAAAAAAAATATCAAAATATTTTAAATAAATATATTGTGGTTAGTAAAAAGTATTACAACTAGGAAAGACAAGTATTCACAACACACCAACTAATATCTTCTATTTGTACCCTAACCCTAAACCCTAAACCCAAAAATCTAAACTCTAAAACCCTAATCACTAAACACTAAAAAATAAAACTATTATTGTTTGCCCAAGCCGAGAATATTCTAAGGTTCCACAAAAACTCTAACACTAACACCCTAATCACTAAACTCTAAACCATAAAAACTATTATTATTTCATATGCTTAAATAAACAAAGGATCACATCGGAATAGTTACCAAAAGTGTCCCATTAGAATATCCAAACGTCCCAAAAAAATATCCGAAAACATGAACTAATGAACCTTAAATACTAAAACTAAAACGAATATCCACACTACCCAGACAAATATCCACACCACCCAGTCTAATATCCTTCTGTCTCATAAGAATATCATGTGATCCCAAAATGGATATTATCACTATGACAGACTAATATCCACCACATACTTACTAATATATGATAGTTGTAGACTAATCCGAAATTGTTACCAAAAGTGCTAGATGCTTAAATAAACAAAGGATCACATCGAAATAGTTACTAAAAGTGCCAATTAGAATATCCAAACTTCCCAGACAAATATTCGAAAGCACGAACTAATATCAATTCAACCAAAAGCTAATATCCGAACCACGTAAACTAATATCCATTCATTGCAAACGACCACAAGACTAATAATTAAACCTTTAACCCTAAAAAAAGTTCCTAAACCCTAACACTAACACCCTAATCACTTTACCAAAAAAACCCTATTAGAATATCCAAAAGTCCAAGAAAATTTTCGAAAACATGAACTAATATCAATTCAAACCTAAGCTAGACCCTAAACCCTTAACATTAAACCGTAACACAAACCCTAAACCATAAAACTATTATTATTTAATGGGCCCTAACTAAGGTTGCAAGCCTTACGTGTTAGGACTTCCTAGTGTGTTTAATTTCCTAGTGTGTTTAATTTGATGTAAGAAACAATATTCCAATCCTTCACAAATTGAAAACCGAACCATAAACCCTAAAACTTAAACTCTAAATTGGTGTAATCAATTTCGGGTGGTTGGGTTATTTTGGGGTTTGGTAAATATTAATTTAATGATGGATATTGGTTTGCGAATGAAGAATACTAATTCATTTCAACAATGATGCAAAGTAATATCAACACAACACATAATAATATCGACTGAAAACAAATAAATATCCACACAAACAAACATACATATATATCACATGGGGCCCAAAAATTTCGTTCTCTTTCCACTCCAATCCAAAATCCCGCCCAAACTGAAGCCGAGCCCACCACTCCACTTGCTCGGCTCGCCTTCTGCGCCGCACGCTGGGCCGGCTTCTACACGGAAGCCCATCTCCAGCTCATTTAAGTGAGCCACCACCCAGCCCCTCTCTCCTGCGTTGGATGAAGCCCAAGCAGATGTGACCCAAAATCTGACCCTGTTAGTATCTGCTAACGGATTTAGCTGTTAGCAAAATAACTTCTGCGCTCTAAAACACACAATTGTGAACCAGAAGTAGTCTATCTCGAGTGGCCAAGAACTTTGTCTAAAAAAAGTTGGCAATCCCCGTATATTATAATGAAGTCCAACAACTGAGGACATCTGTCTCCAGACTTTTCCACCAGCTAGGGAGCGGGTACTTCAATAGTTCAATTCTCATATCTCGTCTCATGCTACTACACGTCTGGACGGGTAAAACTCATGCGGGTAAGGGGGGGGGGGGGGGGGGGGGAGGGTCGACCCACAGTTACATGTTATTTGAAAACAATACACAGTAAATTTTATTTTTTACGATAAAACGAAGGGGAAAACACTTTATGAATGGAAAACGGTGATGATCAAATTGGTAATTGAGTCTGACAAGTGAAAAATCTAACTCTAACTAGTTGAAGAAAAGTCCAAATAGGAGAAATATATACCCGCGGGGCGCATTCAAATTACCATCACTACCACCAACCTCCTAGCACAGTCTTGAACAACAAGATAAACAAAATATGACTTCCCAACTATTTTGAGCTTTGCAAATATATTATTTCTATTTGTAATAGACACGATTTTGTTAGAACCTGCTCATCTGCATCTTGTGAAAACTTTCTCACTATTTTATGTACCAATAATAACTTGTAATTTGATCCTGATTACAGTACTCTAATGCATTTTGTAAGAACGTTCTCACAGACGACTCATTGGATTGGAACGCCCGATTTATGATCTGTCCGCTTATAGAGGTTTTCATCACGCTTACACTCATAACCTCTTCTTTGGGCTTCCGTCATCGTCCCGATTACTTATGTAAAAAGCCCAACCCATAACAACGCATACAAAACCTACCAGCCAAATTGTTACTGGGCCGGGCCAATACAAAGCCCAACGACAAGACCAGGCTCACAATCATATCACATCAAAAGACCATTCAAGTCTCACGTCACCAGCCCCCACCCACCTCTCTTTCACTTTTCGTGCAGTGCAGGTCAGCCATAATTGTCAGTGATAACGAACCGAAGATAATAACGGCGCTTCCCATAAAATAATACTAATAATAATAATAATAACGGCGCCAAAGACTCAGATATTTTGCAAAATGAAGATATGTACTCAGTTTCCATTCATTCATTTTCCAGACACAACAATTCCATGGGAGCGTAACCGTAAACCCGAACAGTAACCCGAAACGCGAACAAGAACCCAATGCAACGGACACACAGAGAGAACAAGAACCAGAACTCGGACAAGCAAGTAACCAAGAACCAAACCGATCAGAACCACGGCTAATTTTAAACACAAAGTTAATCCAAAATCATGACACCTTCCACATATCCCTCCTAATCTATAATCATCTAACTCCTCCAGTTTCCGTCGGAGGCACCACCGCCCCTGGAAGAGTAGCGGGAACCGCCATCGCCGCCGCCTCCGTAACCACCACCGCCATAACCACGGTCCCGGCCACCACCGTATCCACCGCCTCCGTACCCACCGCCGCCGCCGCCATAACCACCACCGCCGTTTCCATATCCACGATTGTATCCACCTCCGCCGCCGCCGCCGTCTCTGCGGGGTCCACCACTCCTGTAACCACCACCGCCGCCGCCACTGCCGGAGCGGGACTGAGCCTCGTTGACGGTAATGTTACGGCCGTCGAGATTCTGGCCGTTCATCCCTTCAATCGCGTCCTTCATCGCCTGCTGGTCCCTGAAGGTCACGAATCCGAATCCTCGGGACCTTCCTGTCTCCCGATCGTTGATGACCTGAACAGAATTCCACACACACACACATAACAAAGGTTCACAGATCCGTCAGATCTACACAGAACGCGTAATTTCGGATCGCGGAAAGAGATACACAGCCGAATTTCAAAATTCGCACAGAAGAAAAGCAATTGAAAAAAAGGAATTGAAGAATTGAAAAAAAGAAAAAATCGATCGATCTCCTCCCAAAGGATGAAGACGGACGTACCGATTGGTTTAGAGAGATCAGTAACAGAGAAAAACGTAGTAGCTAGTAACATGAGTAACAGAGTAACACAGAGATCAATAGTAGCTAGTAACAGAAACAGATCGGGGGATAGCTAGGTAGATCAGAGATCCTGGATCGACATAGCCGAGTGGAGGTCAGATCCGATGACAGCAAACGGACCTTCGATTCGACGATCTCGCCAAAGTGACTGAAGGCTTCTTGGAGTGCCTCGTCGGTGGTAGCCCAGGCCAGGCCACCAACGAAGCACCGGTACTCAAGATCGGCGGAAGCCATTGTTATATACCCCAAAAAAAAAAACTAACCGAATTTGTCAGAGAAGAGGCCGATTTGGGTGAGAATGAGCAGAGAGAGCGTGGGTCTGGTATGATTATATAGAGCCGGGGGTTCCCTTAACTAGGGTTAGTTAGGCGGTGGAAAAGGGTGCGCATTGCGCATCTTTCAGCGTGGGTTTAGGTGCCGGGCCGGCTATGTCTCAAATTATCCCGTTCGAATTCGGAGCAAAGGTTGCGTAATGTTCGCGCTACGTTATTCGGGTTGACCGATATTCCTATTTAGGCGGGGAAATGTATTATTATTATTTTGTAGTAGAAAACCGGGGGGGGGGGGGGGGGGGGGGGTGGTCTGGCCGGTTAGATGGGGTAACCTGCATCGGTGGTTCAGTTCCTGAATTAACCCGGCAACGCGGCGGGAGTGAAATGAGATCAATGATAAAATATCTTCTGTGTAAGGCGGAGCGGGAAGAGGTTCAGTGGGGCCCGCGTGCTTTGTCATCATAGTTTGCTGAGCTGTGCGTTTGCGATAATCGGATAGGCACGGGAGTTTGATATTGTGCTCTTTACCGGGAATATCTAATTGAGGAAGTACAGTATTGCCCCTTTCTGCCGGGTGCTGAACGGGGTTTTAGGTAAGTTTACGGTTGTAATCATTGTTACGAGAATCGAACCGGATCAATGGTTGGGTTAACAGACCGTCAAATTAATTATGATAGCGGTCCGGTTCATTGTTTGAACGGTTATTGATGGACGAAACGATTTTTCACGGTTCAACATAAAATCAAATGAACCAGCACGGTTTAACTGTTCCACTAGTCCACTAATTTACAAAAACAAATTGCTTTAAAATAAAATAAGACCATCAAATCATAATTATCAATTTTATGTATGCTTCCTCAACTTTGTTGTCAACTTTACGTTGTCTACTACCGACTAGAACAGTAATTTTTAATTTGAATTTAAAAAAAGTGGTTTCTTTTGTGAGATGGTTGAAATGATTTAGTTAGTGTAATATACAAGTCTTATATGTTATATATCATGGACGGTTCTATCAACGGTTCACCAACGATTTTCTAACGGTTAACCATTGAACCCTAAACCATTAACTTCTCCGGTTCAGCCTCCGGTTCGGTTATGAAAACAGAGGTTGCTTATCATAAACAGTAACACAACTTATCACTTAGTATAAAACGGTTACTAAAATTTTAATTTTGTACATTTCGATAAAATACGTTTGAAAGAATATGCTAATTGTTAAGGTTTCTTTAATCAACATCATAATAGTATATGGTTAACCTGTAAACCAAAGAGAGTGAAAGTAGGAAGGATATTTTTCGTCAACACAATCAATTTTTTATTTCATATAAAAATATATCAATGTTAGGATTTGAACCATGGTCTCTTCCATCAAAGACAAGAATTGGGGAATAGTTACGGTGCTAATTGTACAAGAGTTAACACCGTCCTAACCAAGGGTTAGTAGTGATTTAGCTTAGATGTTGTATTGATTCTATAATAATCCGTAGTGATTTCGTTGTTTTTAGTAGCGTTTTTTGCTAGTTATCACGGTGCTAACCCCCTATAAGGGTTAGCACCTAATCCCATCCCCAAGAATTGTAACCAATTAGACTAGACACATTTGTTGTATTTTATTAATACAAAACAGAGTACTTTTGTATCACGGTTAGTTAGCCCGCTAAGTCGCCTGTAAGTATTTTGTTGTGTTTGATAATTCTATTTTCATATTTTAATAATTAATTTAGAATTTTTTCTAACTTATAAATGAAGGATAATCTTAAAATCTCAACACAAATATTATTGGTTGGAATATTGCGCATTGAATGGAAGTGTTCAATGACGACATAAGAACATTGGTACCATACATTTCAAGAAAAATAAACATGTCAAACACCGATACCAATTATCTCGACAGTCTATGCTAAAATTCGAATTTGTTTAATCATTCAATTTGAGTGATAGTTTAGTCAAAACAAGCAAATAATTCACGATTGTGCATGAACAAAAATAAAAACATATGTATTGTATTATGAAAATGTATTTATTTTAACGATAAAAAAACAATCAAGACTTCCATATACAATCCCTTATTTCAGCATTGTAATTAATGAAACAATTTTTACCAACATGATGCAATGTCCAAGCTAAGGTCCAATTATTAATCACCAGTATATAGTATTCCGCTTAGTAAACTATTTCAATATCCACAGCTAACTATGAATGATTACTTGCTTTCTGTTTGAGGGTTTAATGTAACACTCATGCTTACACTCTAAGCATTTTTTCCTTTTTCCAATATTTTTCAGTTATTTGTTAAATCAACTATGTTTCTAGCTTTCCATTCCTAATTATTCACTGCTTCCTACCAACTTATGGGAATGATGAATATTTTTTCCATATATAATCTATTGACTATGAATATTGCTTATTACTTAAATTCAACGGTATACATGTTAGGTTTGATGTCTCCAACATATTCTCACAATTTCTCGAAAAAACATCATATCTTGCGATTGATATCATAGTTTTGTTAGGTAAAGTGCAACAAACTCAATCAATATTCGAACTCTTTGAAGTAGCTATCTACATGTGAATATGATGTACTGAGTAGCTAAAACTCTACTTGAGTTGGTACAATCGTTTGCGCTATCAATTAAAATTCAATACATGATTATCTTATTACAATTTATTCATAGTAATTGTGTAGTAGGGGACATCTTATCAAAATCGTATCAAAAGACTCATTGATTGATCAGTTTCAGGATGTAATCAATTATATCAAATAGAAGTGATCAAATATATAAGATGCTCTCAAAGTTTGCTATAATTATTGAGGTTCAACAACACGTTAATCGTAAGGTGGTCATTGGGCATTTGTCTATCTCTTAGTTCGCCTAGACACGCTTAGACGTTGTAATAAAAATAGTAATTTTTAATAATGATGAATTAAGTAACAGTTTTGAAGCACTTTCATACTTCAGTTCAAATGATTTAACAACAGGCAAAATAACTCTCAAGTTTATAATTTTTTATACAAAATGGTATAATTAATTCATTTATGAACTGGTATAGCTAATTATAAGCACTTAAATTTTTAAGTTGAAACTTATATTATACAATTGTTTGACTAAATGATTTTTATCATAGAGTAGTTCTATCGAGAGAGGTCTCTAAGAAACATGGCTTACTTTATTATTCCTTAGGTAGATATAATATATATCTTCATCATTACTTTTACATTGGATTCAATTTAATATACCTTTTCGTTTAGATAGATTTTTTTAATGATATTTTTGGGATATAATATATCATTATTGTATGATGGTGTAGGATATTAGTTCCTCTCATTTTAGGTTCAAATTGATGCATTTTCCCCTTTATCGTTCCCTTTTATCAGTTAATAATTTTTATGATATTTTTTACTATGAAATATCGTGAGCAGAATCTATACACAACAATTTGTGTTTTTTTCGCTTCCTCTTCTCTTGATTAGATATTGTGTCCATATTGATACTTATATTGATTAGGTTAAATACACTTGTATATCCAAAACTTTCACGGTTGTGCCAATAATATCCAAATTTCCCGAAATACCACTTATCCAATTCCTTCACATTCTTTAACGATGTTTTTGGATATACAAGTGTATTTAACTAAAAATATATTGGGAAATGGATAGATTTGGCAAAGAACAACTTTAAAACATGGATATAAGTGGTATTTGGAGAAATTTGGATATTATTGGCACAACCTTGAAAGTTTTGGATATACAAGTGTATTAAACCTATTGATTATTGAATTACTACTTTTTTATTCCGAAGTTTATGAAACTAAGATGCATTTTTTTGAGAAACATGAAACTAAGATGCATATTGATAAAGAATGTAAGGTGTCATCTTCCCTCTTAAGGGTTAAGCACTACATATCATTGTTTACCTACTGTTAAGTCAAAGTCTTTCTAACTTAAGTGCGAGCTACAATGACTATTATTGTTGTCGATTTTTCCCAAAATATTAGGTATGTTGCTTTTAGTTTTCGCATTCTTTTCAGTTTGATTTAGCTTTTTATGTGTTGCTCTATTAGTTGAACTTGCCAGTTAGAGATCTGCACAATGTCACAGTGACTTCTATATGAAATGCCACTCGAAACATGAGTGTGTGATTTAGCTTGTTTCTTATTAAGGACACTCTAAACATATACTTAGTTCCATTATATCATTGAATACACTAAAGTGAATGGAAAAGTCGAAACATTTTATCGTATACTGAAGATTGATTATGCATGTATGATGTAAAACAAGTCTTACCATTGTTCTTCTTAGACATTTTTTATATCAATACGACTTCGTTTGAAAATATGTATTTATGTTAGTATAGTTGGACGTTGTTCATCATTTTTAAAACTTCATTAGTCAAATACATCAAATACTTTCCTATATTATTAATAGGGAACTTACTAAACTAAATAGTTACTCCAAATCCCAACAACATGAACCATAACAAAAATATATACCTACACTTATACATGACAACATGAGAATCAAACTCTCCCGGCCAAGAGGCCGGGCCCGGGTTGGATCCGGTCCTTAAGCCTCATTGTTTAAGGAGGTTCTTAAACCATTTTTATTGGTTGATACTAGATTAGGTAGTTAATTAGGGGTTAGTAGTTAATGGTTAGTTGGAATAAATAAGATATTATGAAAATATAATTAATATTACTCATTAATGATTCTCTTTCTCTCTTCCCCTTGATCTTCTCCATAACCCTCTCTCTCCACTAAAATTAAAAGGAAATTCGAAATTAATTTAATTTAATTAAATATTATTATTTAATATTTAATAAATTTGAACTTAATATTTTTATTTTTTAAAATGAAAATTGAAAATTAAAAATATATGCTCTCTCTCACTTCGTGGTAACTTGCAATACAGTATTAACATTTTGCAATGACATTATCAACATTTATGAAATGAATCGTTATTATTATACCTCATCATTATTAACGACTTCAATATACTTATCAATTCCTTACAATTACATTATTAACAATTTCGGATCAATTGTTACTGTTTTATAGTTTGGTCATCAACGCCTATGAATGAATCATTAAAGTTATGTAACATGGTCATTAACAGTTTGAATAACAATATCATTGATTTACAACATCTTTAATACTAATGATTCACATTTTCACATCATGTTTATAACTAT